TATTGCAATAGGGTAGGACATATAGCTCCCGTGTGTTTCACTAGACATAGGCACTTGACCTTTAATGAAACACACACCATATTTAGTGCTGACGAAAAGAAATCCTTTGGAAAAGGATATTCGAATCATAAACAATCTCCACAGGATAGTGCACAAAAGAAACCGTATTATTTCTTCTACTTTGACGAAAAGAAGAAAGTCCACATTCCGTTACCGGAACCAACACAGACCACACCGAGATATCGGCACTCCGTTCGGGTAGACTGGAACCCGCCAACCACTAGACAATGGGTTGGCCAAGGTAACTCCTAAACAATCATTTAATTGTGTGTGTGTGTGTGTGTGAATTTTGGGTGTGTGTGTGGGCAATAAAGGTCAACTAACCCCCAAGGATCCATAGACATACTTTGGGTACCAAAGTGTTATTCTTTTTTGCAGGGACGGTTCAAAGTGAAGAATTCTAGAAATTAGGGGGAACCAGCGATGGGTGGGCAATACCATCGCTGGGAGGGAAGTTTTCTTGTTTTCAGAACCCCTCTTCCCATCGATGGGTGCTTCTTCCCATCGATGGGTAATTAACTCTATTTTTTAAAAACCTTTTAACGGATTTCCAGAAATACCTTACCCATCGATGGGTATTTCATTCCATAGCTGGGTGAAGGACTTTTGTCGAATTTTTTTTTCAAGAAACACCCTACCCATCGATGGGTCTCTTATCCCATCGCTGGGTGAATGATTTCAGTTTCAAAAATTTTTTCCAGAACCTCCCTACCCATCGATGGGCACTTTCTCCCATCGCTGGGTGTTTGACATTTTTTTAAAATCTTTTTTAAACGCATTCCCAAAATCACCAACCCAGCGATGGGATGGTATTAACATCGCTGGGAAGGCTTTCGTCTTTTATTCTTCACTTTCCAGAACCCACCTTCCCATCGATGGGAGAATCCACACATCGCTGGGAAAGCAGTCTGATTTTCTCCTTCGCTTTCCAGTAGCGACCTTCCCATCGATGGGTAGATCCTACCATCGCTGGGAAGGCGGTTGAAGTTCAAAATTTCAGAACCGTTAGAGACAGCATTTATGGCCCAACAGCTCTTTTTTTCAAAATTCAAACGGGATTTCCTCCTCTCCCTACATATTCACATCATCCCTTCCCTTCTTAACACACAATTAACATCATTATTTCATCTCTTTAGCCTATACCACTTATTTCATCAATCTTTCTTCAAAAACGCATCAATCATGGCCGGAGGAAGATCAAAGTCAAAGGCTTCCAAGAAGAAAAGCACCGCCGAACCCTCAAGCTCTGCGCCTCCTCCGTTCCCATATTTGGACGGATCCTTCTTGGAGTTCGGGTCGGAGGAGGAACTCAACCGGTTCCTCACGCACTTTGCCAAGCGTCCCATTTCTCCGCCTAGGGTGCTGCCCGAGTTGTACCCTCAACAAAAGGGGTACCACGACCTCGACAATCAGCTTCAAGCATCGGGTCTGTGGTCGTTCGTCTCCAGGAGTTGCTCGAGCTTCAATCCTGCCTTTGTGCGAGCCTTCTACTCCAATCTCCGCCGTGACGGGGACACCATTCGCAGCAGCATCAATCTCTACGACATAGAGATTGATTTGCCTACCTTTGCTCGGGTCGCAGGGCTGCCCATCCGCGGTGACGACATCGCAACCTATGGTGGCGACGATTGGATCCTCAACAACGAGGCGGTCGTCATTCGTGAGCTTGGGATCACCAACTTGATCCGCCACAGCGGCGCACCGACGATTCACTCGGCTCCACCGGACAAGCGCCTCCTCCTCTACATCATCACCCGGATTCTCCGCCCCCGGGACAGCAGCCATACCTCGCTCTTCAACGAGGACTTGAAGGCGATTCATGCGATCATCCACGGCGCCTCCATCAATTGGGCGAAATTCGTGATGGTCCACATGGCAAATTGCGCCTCCATCGCCACTGAGCAGAGCTTGCCATATGCCTTCCTTGTCATGGACCTCATCATCTCCGCCGACATCACCATCGCCGGCCCGGATACGAAGATGACAAAGATTTGGATAATTCAAGACAGCACCTTCCGGAAGAAGTCCGGAGACCGGGACGACGCAGGCCCGAGTCGTGCACCAGCCCCCGCTCCCGCCAAGGCCTCTTTGCAATCCATAGCCGATACTCTGAATCGGCTAACCCTCACAGTAGACGACATGGGACAGTCAATCGAGCGGATGGAGTGGACGCTGCAACGCCAACACCACGACATGACGGCGTTCTTCCGCGGCGTCAACTACGTCCCGCCTCCCTTTGACAACACCTTCCTCGGCCAAAACTATGAAGGCAAGGACGAGGAGGATAACTCCTATGCTCCATCCTCCTCCCCCGACGAGGCCGACTTTGAAGATGCGGTCGACGGCGATCCCATGGACGTCGAGGACGACGAGGATGACGACGAGGATGCCGATGCTTAGACTTTTTTTTTCTCTTCTTACTATGATTGTATTTTTTATTTTTTCCATTCCATTGTATTCCGCATTTCCCTTTTTCATGAATAAAAGTTTACTTTCACAATTCTAAAGTTTCCTTTTTTTGTTAATGTCAAAAGGGGGAAGATATTAAGGTTATGCATAAATTAAGGGGGAATTTTTTTTGTAAAATGGCATCTATTAAGGGGGAACATCTTTTTCAAAATAATCCTCCTATGCATAACCTCGTCTCGTTTGCCATTATCAAAAAGGGGGAAATTGTTGAAACACGGGCTTGCCACGTTTTCGTACTAAAGCCGTGTTCGTTTTTGTAACAGGTTTTGATAATGCCAAACCGCCGTGATAAAGTCGAACATTGAATATACAAGGCGAAGAACAAAGATAAGAGCAAGAGCTAAATGAAGACCAAGAACGAAGACCTTAATCATAGTATTGAGTGGGTCTTTATTGTGATCAAGACCGACCCAATATTTACACCTTGGCTCTTTAGGCTAAAATCTCTCATTGCATTTCTTACATCATAAAAACGTTTTTCAAATTTGTTTAAGTCATTAAAAACACTTGGTGTTCGCCCAAACCAAAAACCAAGCCATCCAGTGTTCGGCTTTCAGAAACCAGCGTTCGGCTTTCGGTTGTCGGGTTTGGTTTTTGGCATCCGAACCAACCAAGTGGTTTTCAGCATTTTATGATCTGCTTTCACNCCACCCAGCGATGGGAAGAACATCCCATCGATGGGTAAGTAGCCCCTTAGCCAAACCAACTTCCAGAACCATGCCAAACAGCGATGGGAAGCTCTACCCATCGCTGTTCAAGCCTTGGTCCAACATTATCACAAGGCAGAATGCCCTTACCCAGCGATGGGAAGCTTTACCCATCGATGGGAACCCAGCGATGGGAAGGCATGACCGTTGGAAGTCATTTAAGGTTGATTATTTCCTTCTTTGAAAGTCAACCTCCCACCCAGCGATGGGAAGCTTGTACCCATCGATGGGTAGGTAACCGGTGGCTTCAAAACTGAAGGAAAATTGGCTTACCAGCGATGGTAAGTTCCAAACATCGATGGGAAGCCAATATCCTGCAGATCCCAAATTTATTCAATCCCATAAATCAAGCCAATCACCCCTTTAATGCAATGGTCCGTTGGAGCCTATTTTGGCACTATAAAAAGGGGTGTTTGTGTCTGCTTTTCTCATCAATTCACTTCACAATATTCATATTATCATTGCATTCAAACAACATCATTTTTCATAGCTTTCTAGAGCCAATTTGTGAAGTTTGAGTTGTTCTTGAGCGTATATAGTTTACTCAACATCTATTCTTAAAGAGAGTCTTGTTCTTGAGTGTTCTTAGTGTTGTAAACACGTTTAGGGAAGCTTGTTTCCTTTGGTTGTACGAAGGAAAGGTATTTTCCTTCGGGTTGAAGTCTTGGAGTGCGGTATCTCCGAGAAAGTGTATTGAGGCTCGTGGGACTCGAGTTCTCAGGTTGTAACGGTTTGTTAAACACCCGTAAGCTTAACGGAAGTAGTGTAGCTCGAGAGAGTCTCTCGGGAGGCTGGATTAGCCACAAGTTGTGGTGAACCAGGGTAAATCTTGGTGTGCTCCCTTTACTCCTTTTTATTCCGCTCTTTACTTTATCCCTGCGATTTTTATTCCGCGAAAATTTATAAACATTCTCATGCCTCACTATTCACCCCCCCCCTCTAGTGAAGGGCACTTATTCTAACAGTCTTTCTTATCTATTTTTTAAGGTGTTCTACGTGGACCGAGTGGTGCTCTATAGACGGGACGTTGAGTGAATGTCGCTTGCATTTCTGGGATGGACATCTAAGATCCTAAGGGATAGGGAAAACAATGAGGTCAAAGCAGGTGGATTCGGGTTGGGGTATGACGATGGAAGATTTGTTGGTGAGGTGGTGGATGCAAGCTCTGGTGACACAGATGTCGGGGCTGGTTTAGAACAGGATAATGTGGAAAATGGTAATGGTGATGCACGAGAACCAAGGGGAGAGACGAGGGATGATCCGGTTGAGGTAAGTGCGGGGGGATTACTTAGCAAACCATGTACTGATTATTTTTACCCTGTGGGTTGTTTAAATTTAATATTTTTTATTTTATGACACCCTTATGCATCAGGTTTTTGTTCAAAAGTTTGCAGAAAAGGGGAGAATTTTGGCTACCACAATCATCGACCTAGTGTCGTTGATTGAGAGTGCACCACCTGGTACCATGGAGAATGATGTGTTCAAGCAGCTGCAGCTTGCAGCGGGTAGATTATTGGGTCAGGCACAGCGTAGAGGTGGTGGAAGCTTAGAAACACCTCAGGGAGGATTTTCAGAGGTGACCTATGATGAAGGTTTCTGGAGCGACCCTGCAAACATAGATCAGTTGGTAGCGAATGAACAGGCAGTGCTGGCACGTTCAAAATACAAGAAGATCATGGAGGATATGCCATTGTTCAATCTGTGGTTCTCGCAATTGGATGGAGAGAATGAGAATGTGAATATTGATGGTGGTGATATGGGTGCTTGCAGAAATACACCTAGCACTCTTGCAGTTCGGGTTGTGAATGAGCCGAAGAGTAACTCAGGGGTTGAAAATGATTTCATAACACCTGGAGAAGTGCAATGTCATGTGGGAGATGTAATTTTAATTATTGCCGTAGAGTGTTCCTTGGTGTTGTGAAGCATGTTGTTTGGTGTACCATAACAATTCATATTGGTTATGTTTGTTTTTTGTTTGTTGTTGCAGGCAGTTGATATGGATTTGGCTGGTGGAAACAGGAATCAGCCGGACACGATTGGTATGACAGCGGTAAGACCGTTTTCCGTATTGGTGTTCGTGATCTGTGTGTTGCATTTTGTTACGTGGTGATAACACCAATGGTTGATATATGCGTAGGTTGCTGATGTGAGTGCAGTGGGTGATGGTACTGTGCGAGGAACTGTTACAGAACGTTCAAAAGCAGAGGTAGGACTGATTTTTTTGGTTTTGTCAAAAATTAATTCATGCATGGTAAGGGGTGGTGTCGTTGTGTTTTTTGGTAACTTAATGAGAAATATTATTGTTATGTGTTAGGTGAAGCCATGCAATGCAGCAAGGAAGTTGGCTAGGACATTAAAACCCGCGGGCCATTTGAGATCACCCTACCTTACACGACTGATAGATCTTTCCGATGGGTTATCTGTCATGGAGAGGAGGGTGACGAATTGGGTGTTGCAGAATCCAAATGCTCCAAAGTAAGTTTTTGTTTTGAAGTCTGCAATTTTGATTGAAAATTATTGAGTATGTATGGATTGAAGTTTGAATGTTAGATCTTTAATAACCACATATTGTGATGTTTAGGGATGAAGCTGTTTTCGTGAAGGATGGATTGGAGTTGACAAGAGGTGAAATTGCGTTGTTGGATATTGAGAAACATATTTCCAAGAGGGTGATAGATGTGTGGTCAACAATACTGAACCATAATGAGAAATTCAGAAGTGACAATTCCCCGTTGCGTGTGTTTGCTAGGAGCATGGATTGTGTAAGTTGTTATTTTTTTTGTGTGCGTACTTAAGTTTGAATGGGGATTCTCATGCTGCTTAGTCTGACATGTTTTGAAATGAAAAGGTTGCAAATGGGGATATAGTAGATGTGTCTGAGGCGAATGTGAAGAACATGTTTGCAAATGCGCTGCTTCCTGCGTGGGATGACATGGCAGATGATTTCAACTGGGGGAAAGCTGAACTGGTAAGAATGTTTATAGTAGACGCAATGTGAAGATTGAAATTGCCCTGGATCGTTCTGCGTGGTTTATCAGTAGTTCATTGTGTTTGAGAGAAATTGTTAATGTGTGATTTATTGGATTATGTGCAGTTTTTCTTGCCTATTATGCAACAGAACTGGGCATATGTGTTGTGTGTTGACCTAAAAAGCAGACGTTGTGACATCCTAGATAGCTCTTCAGCGAAAGCAAAAAACGAAGACAGATATGGCGACATGCCAAAGCGAGTTGTAAGAACTTTGGGTGCATGGTTTTTAGGATAAAGTATATTAATGTGGATGATTTATTAACATGAAATGTTTCAACCAGGTGAGGTTGTTGGGTGATTTTCTTGAGCAGCAGAGGTTTGTTTACAAAGGTAAATGTGTTAGAGAAATGCTTGCTAAGAGAATTACGTTCCCTTGGAGAGATCTGAAGGCTACCTTTGACTATGGTGTGGCGACCATGCGTCATATGGAGACGTATATGGGGGATGGTGGCAAGGGATGGCACAGTGGCTTGTCGAAGATAAATCAGAAGCCTATGCTGTTGCTGCGCTGCAAGTACTGTGCATGTATACTTCTAAGCCCAGTTAATGCACTGTTGGACAAGGTTTACGCAGAGTCAGAGAAGCTCGAAAGGGAGAGGAAGGGAAAGGATCCTAAGTGAACCCAGACCTAGAATGGCTGCATCTTATTTTTGTGTGTTAGTTGAATTATTTTTATTAGTTGTTGGTGAAAGTTGGTGACACCATACATTGATGGAAGTGCTATAAGGAAACTAATTATCAGCCCATAGTTTGGTTTATTTTTTTTATTTTTTGTGTGGATTTGAGGAAATTGTTTTTTTTGTAGAAGGTGTGAATGGTTATGGTTATTTGAATGAAGATGTGGTGTTGCCGTATTTGGTGCGTTTGTGGTTTTTTAAGAATGTGTTTGTCATTACGTATTTTTGGAGAGTTGTAAGTGGTTGGATTAAGTGAATATTAAACAAGTTTGCTGTTTTGAGATGTGTGAACATAGCGATTGATGAAGTGATTGAATTTTTATTTGTTTGAAACAGAGGTTTCAGCATTGTGATATGAACGTAGAGAATATCAGTACCAATATATGATGTTATAATTGCAGATAACCATTTTATTTTGTTTTCCTTCAAAAATCGTTCCTCCAAAAGTTTTTTTAATAATACATTCGTAATACATCCGTTTGACGCTGCTTGTGCATTTCTGGGTCTTACTACCGCATATATTGTCTGTGACATTCCATGATGTACATTATATGCGTTACCATTTATAAACGTTCTACGTACGGGGTTGAGGACGTTTAGTAAACAGAACCTCACTATCTATGGTTTTAAACCCTCAATCTAAAACAAACCCATACATGAAATAAATTAAAATATGCTTCATATTCACCTCAATTTATCAATATATTGGTATGAAATCTATTTCATATGTGGAATGCACAACTCTTGTATGAATATTCATTTAAACAGTGGTCACCATTTTGGACACAACTTATTTATGCAGTATAAAATAAATGAAATGCTACATGGATAGAAGAAGGTGATACATTAAGTAAATGAGCCTGTTATAAAGGGAGGCGTGGGGTACTAACTGTGCGAATGGGGAATTGGTGTTGAAAATTAGTCATTCAACCATTGGAATTAAATTTATCTATTCAGGAATACAAGAAGTGGTAAAAAAGCAGAGACATATTCATGGAATAACTATAACATAACATTTAATAAAGAATAAAAGTGAAACAGGAAAACAGACTTATCACTTCTCATGGTTCATAGGACAGTTCCTGCTGTCGTGGAAGCCATATTCTTTGCATGTCCGACACAAGCGTTTGGTTTTCTTTGATTCTTCAATGCTAACTTCCTTACCTCCTTTGATACGCTTACCGCTGCCCTTCGTACTTACTTGGGCAGGAGGTAATACACGAACTTATGAAGGTGCAGAAGTGCCACAAAAGTTTTCAAACACTGAGGATGTGTCAGATGATAGTTTGCCATCGTGAAGTTTGTCGATTAGGGCCTCTTTGTGCTGATTTATAGTGTTGGAAAAGGCAAGTAGCAAATCAGGGGTGTGTTCCACCAAGGCAATACAAAAGTGGATGTCTGACATCAATCGAGAAACGAGAGTCTTATTTTGATCCGTAAATGATACCTTGTCCATTTCTGGGCCACCGACATCAAACATTGGTTTGAGCAAGTGGAATTTGCACCACCGGTTGGTAACATAGAAGTCGGGAATCTTTTCTATTTTTAGGTTTTTGAAAACAACAAAGATGTTCCTGCATAGCAAGCCAATGCGTTCGTAGTTTTTGCAACTGCAATGTGTGGTCCCATCGCGTGCACAGTAGCGGACAGTTGATATCATCCCACTTACATCGCTGATCTGATACTCAGAAGCATCCTCACTGTTTTGGATACATACAATAGCGCATGAAAAGCAGGATGCACAAATCTCTTTTTGCAAATCATAAAAGACAGAGAGAGTGAATAACGATGCAGCGTGTTTCTCAATCTTTAATGGGGTTTTGAACACTGGAATTCCCGACTCGGATTCTGAGTTCAAACGAGTAAATTTGAACCGTTGGTCCTCCATTGCACTCTGGAATTGCATTAATAATTCAACTAGGCTAAAGTTGCGGTTGGTGAAATCGTCAAAGAAACTGTTTTCACTCTCTGATCTAGACGTAGTGCGCAAAAGCCC